AGTTCCTTAAGCCATTCCTCATAGGGCTTGGTTTCCAAACCTTTGATCATCCCCCCCCCCTTTTCTGGACAAGTTCCAGCTTATCATTATCCTTCTTGAATTGTGGTGCCCACAATAGAATTGCAAAGAATTGCTATGCTACAATATTATGTTATAACAGAATTAATATTCTACAAGACAAGACTTAAGGCCTGCCAGGTCCATAATTCTGTTTACCCAGAAGAATGTTTCCATGTTTCTCAGTGCCTCATAGTCAGAGCTGCACTTCCCTTGATACTAGTGGAAGCATATCAATAGTTGTTGAAAACATTATGTGCCATGAAATAAGCAAAACATAGTATCTCCAATAAGTGGAACTGGAGAAGCCATTAATTGTTCCATCACTTGTTCTTCCTGCAGCTTTGATGTCTGATGTATCAAAACAAGCTTTTTAGGAATTTTATATGTTATTGTTGAAGGTGAAGCTCAAATTGATCCTGCCTCCTTCAACCCCTATTGGGGCTAGCATTTTTAAAAGCCTTGTTATACACAACATTCATAATCCAATTCATATCTGCATCTTCTCTTCACACACACACATTCTCCAAATGTCTCAGTGCAAACAGGTTGATGAATGATCAACTGTAGTAGTCACTTTAGTGCCAGAGAATATTGAAAAGACAGTTTGAGTAAGATAATAAGCATACCAAGAAAAGGTTTTGAGGTTGAATCTGAATTGTATTTGCAGATCTATAGGTGTGGGCTGTATGGTTTCTTTGGAATGATAACTATTTCTTTAGAATAATTTTAAAATTTTGCATTCCGGAACTACTTTGATGTTGTTGTTAGGTGCCATCAAGTCAGCTTTGACTTATGGCAATCCTGTGAAAAAGAAGCCTTCAAGTTACCCTTTCTTTAAGCAACCTGTTATGGCTTTGCACATGTCTTCTTTGACTTAGTCTGTGCATCTGGAGTGCGATCTTCCTCTTTTCCTACAGTGTGGACACCCTTCCAAACATGTCATTTTAGGCCATTTTCCGTATCAGAAATGGAATAGCCATAGCCCAGCTGGCTGATGGAGCCCTTTAAATTAAGAGCAGGCTAAAAATGACAGCTTTTTGCTCTCTGTACTTGGCATTATATCATTGTTGCCACCCCGCCTTTTGTCCTGTTTAATGCTGGAAATAGCATGCTTAAAATCCATTGGAAGAGATGGTGGAAAGACAAAGTCAGTCCCAGATTATACACAGGACTATGCATCTGGTTTCGTAGAAGCAGAAGCATTGTCTTAGGCTCAAGATTCAAATATGGAAAGCAGTTCTGATCATGATCCAGAGCTGAAAAAGGAGTCGCCAGAAAAAATAACCCAACTTACCCTGATGTTCAGAAATCCACAAAGCCAAACATATCAGATAAATTCACAGTGGGAATGTTGAAAATGTGGTAATTGTTTGCCACAATGAAATAGCTGAGCTAATTTACAGCCAGTGATAAATCAGCGCATCTGGTCTAATTAGCTCAGTGTTTATTTTTAAAGTATATGAGAGTGTTTCTTGTTCCTTTACGACTGACCTTTTAATGTACAGTGTTCCACAGGATGAATTGCCTCTGCATTCTCATCATGATCTATAGAAACTGCATGGGACAGTTTAGACTCTGCCAGTAGCCTCAGGCTCTGATTATTTCCTAAAAGAAAACAAAAACACTGTATTTCCCAGCACCACTATGTGAATTCTACATGAACATATTCACATACTGCTTCTGAGAAAGGAAGCCATTTTATCCCCTATAATACAATTAGACTGACTATGGAAAGGAACTATTCGCAAGTACACCGTCCTATAGTTATAGGCCTGTCTAGCTTGGTTTGTGGTCACAGGAAGAACTAAAGTAATCCATGCCTTGTTTAAAATTAAAGTCTTATAAATATATCTTAAGGATTTAAAAGAGTAAGTCTAAAATTTAGCTCTTTGAGTATAATTGATGAAGGCAAAGAGAACCTGGGGAGAAGCTACTTTAGAATCATCTGCTATGATTGCGCCCTGGTGAATTATCTGATTTTCTGACTTTACACTGTTGATGCCCAGCAGTCTTCTGGTCCTTCATGTCAAAAAAATTGTTTTAGGGCTGAAAGAGTACATTTTGAGGAACCGTTTGCTCTGCTTCTTTCCTTTTTAAAACACAGACCACCTACTCCTCTAAGATGATGGAGAACCCTGTAGAGAACATTAAGTCCAAGGAACAGCTCAATTGATCACTGTATTGATTTTTTTTACATCCCTCTCTGTTGAGCAGCTTAAAAAAATCTCTCTACAAATCTAATTTGATCCAGACTCCATGGACTGTACTAATGCTACAGTTTTGGTCTACAAATAGAGATGTCTCAGAATTGCCATCTAGTATTGAATAGTTAACACAGATTTTAATTCTCCTTGTATTACAGTATTACTCTGAATACTTGTCTACTTAGTTTTGTGAGGTAATTCTTAATGGTTAGAGGGCATTGCTCTGTTACAAATCCAGTTACTATTCCTTTACTGACCCTTTCTGTCTGTCATTTTCGTGCAACAGCCATATGTATGTACAAAGGAAATGCAAGCATATATCATATGAACATAGGAATGGAACAATGGATGACGAATCTGGATTATGTTTTTGATGATCTGACGATAGTGAATGGTTATTGTAGTAATTGTTTATTAATTGTGTAATGTGTTAGGTTGTTAACTGCTTTTTTACACTGTAGCATTGAATTTTTGCTGTTCTTATTTGTTGTGAACCGCCGTGAGTTGCCTTCGGGCTGAGAACAGCGGTATATAAGTAAATAAATAAATAAATAAATAAATATAACAAAGGCTCTGGCAAAGAAACTCATTTTCACAAAGTCTGTTTATTTAAGCTTGCATCATGTCTATGTCTAGCTGGAAGATTTTTTTTTATAGCAGCATTGGTGTTGGAAAGATGATGAAGTGATGCAGGAAGAGGTGGAGAAAGATGAATTTTCAGTGTTGGGTTGGGTTGCAGCAAATGCTATATATAGTAAAGCTTGAGCTGGGAAAGAGAGATTTTCTTCTAGTCACTCCTGAGTGTGTTTGCCTACAACAGGCAAGTTAAACAACAGGTAACTCCAGAATATCTTACTATGGATGTAGGAACAACAAAGCCAAGTGCAAGTTGGACAGATAAGACTGCACCACTAACTCTTCCCAGCATGTTCGAAAGCAAAGATCTGCAAGTTTGGTCACCCAAATGGAAATCTTAAGAAGAGGTATTAAAGGAAAAAAACGAATCCTAGATACATTTTGGAAGAAGCTTTCAAGTGGCATCTCTTAGCTTCAAAACATTTTTGTTTACTTATGCAAGCTTTCCTTAACCTGGCTGTCTCATTTCACATGTGCATATTGTTAGTTTTTAATAAATGTTCCCTGAAACATGCTGAAGTGCTGTTCTTTTTCATAGTATAGGACCCTGTCTCCAGTCTTCCCATATTATTTTGGTCTGTGGTACCAAATTTGCTGTTGAAGAAGTAATACCCAGGGACACTCAGCATTGTACAAATCACCCTGTATTGCGCTTCTATATCTTTCCCCAGAGAAAGAAATAAGATTACAGTATATTGGGCACTTTCTTGCTGTTGGTGAAGTGGCATCTTCAGTGTTCTTGTACCTTTTAGGGTGAGAAAGGTTTGTACGATTGTTCCCTCTGTGTTTGTAGCTTATGTCCATGCATCCTGCTTTGTCCATTGACAGAGAGATGATGCGATTTTATCTTGTATTTAATTATGTTGGCTCCTCGGGGACTGTCTTGGCAGAAAAGCAGCTAATTTTCTTTTCTGTATTCAAGAACATTGACTGTGCCAAGTCTAAAATGTATTGATTTCTTGAGCCATGTTTAACTTGCTGTTATTTAAAAGGAATGGGACAAAAAGATCTTGTGAGGGAAATTTTGAAGGGAGTGTGGAAACGAGAATGAGATGATTTATTTGAGGTGTAGACATGCTCCTCCCCCTTTTGAGCTTTACTTTGAAATAAATAAAACAATACAGAATAAAAATGGTCTTGAGCATTTATGAAACAATAGTGCCGTTGTCAAGGAGGGGGAAAAAAGAAATGGAACATTTTCTGGAAAACCTTGAAAATTATTATGCCTCAAATGATTACAGTTTTTAAGACCACATGCTTATAGAGAATTGTATCTTATATATTGTCAGTTTAACTTTCTTTTCCTGCAGTAAACTTTTAGTTTTAGTTTAAACTTTTAAACTCTCTTTCTCTGCAGTACTTCCTTATTTCAAGTTAGGGGGAAAAAGCTGATTCAGTATAACGCACATAATGTTACGGACATCATTCAAGGATACTCTTAGAAAAAATTGGGATGCATTTCTCCCAAATTTACAAAATGGAATTTTAGCCCATAAAACTATAAGGGGTGGGGCTATATATCTAAGAAGATTAAATTTTATTAAATTCTGTCCACATGTCTTTAGTAGTAGACCAGTTTAAACAGGATAGGTCATTCCTCAGTATATTTTCTGTTTGCTACGCACAAATGTCCTAAATCCTTAAGTGTAGGGTTACCCTAACATTAATATCATCATGGGAGTGGAATTCAAAACCATAGTTGTATTAGTCTAGAATTAGTTTCTAAGAGGCTACAAAATGCCTTTGCATATTACTAGTACCACCACGAGCTCATGTATCATACATGACTTGAAAATATGACACCCCCCCCCCCACACACACATACATCGGCAAAAAAACAAACCTTGATTCTGTTGTTTCATATATACTACAACATTGTATATAATAGGACTTGAGCATCAATTGATTATTGGTATCTGGGATGGGTGGAGTGGTCCTGGAACCAAATCCCAGTGGATACTGTGGACCTACTTTATATGGCTTACTATGCTGTGCAATTTTGGGTTTGGAAAGCCCAGGTCTCTTTAGTTTCATGATTGTTCTTTGACTGTAGCAAAAATCAAGGCATGACATTTTCTTGTGCTGCCTATTCCACTTTAGGTATTCATTCCAGGATGAAGAAGACATGTTCATGGTGGTTGACCTGCTTCTTGGAGGAGACTTGCGTTTTCACCTACAGCAAAATGTCCGTTTCCAAGAGGATACTGTAAAACTATTCATCTGTGAGTTAGCCTTGGCATTGGACTATCTTCAGAGCAAAAACATTATTCACAGGTAAGTCAAGCACACTTTTTTGAAATTTACTTATTTGGTTTTGATAGCTCAATTACTCTTTAGGAACTTAGGAATAACACTTTCTGGGTCATTGACCTTGGCAAATGAATATTCAACCACCAACATTTCCCCATCCAGGCATCCAGAAAGACCATAAGCGATGCCATGCTGGAGAAAGCTCAGGAGAATGGTATTTCTTTAAGGTCCCGCTAGGATGAATTTTTGTCATTCTTCTCATGCCCTTCTACACAGCACTATAAACTCCCGATTATCTGGTTTTAACTGGATTATATGGTAGACTCAGATAGTCCGGTTCAAAGCAGATAATGTGGATTATCTGCCTTGATATTCTGGATTATATGGCAGTGTAGAAGGGCCCTCAGAGAAGCAGATTGTTCCTTTTTATAAGAGTTAAGACACAATACTCAGATTGATCTGAGGATTTATTAACTGAGTTTTTTTGGTTGATTTTTTGAATATTTTTTTACACTTATACATGAGTATATACGATAATATAAACTGCAATTCCTGTAGCAGGGGTTTATGAAGCATTGTGGAGATTAAGATCCTCTGAGGAGGCCCTGCTCTCTGTCCTGCCACTCTCACAGGTGCCATTGGCGGGGCCGAGAGAGAGGGTAATTGCCCCTTAGCTATAGAAATCCCTTCCTGGTGAGATAAGATCAGGCCCCTCCCTCCTGTCCTTCAGAAGGATGGTAAAAACTTGGCTGTGGGACCAAGCTTTCGGAACAGCACAATAAAGCAGCGATAGAAAACCTTACTATGCCAACTAGATGCGGATGATTGAGATGTTTTTAAACAGTGCATTTTAATGTTAAGACAAATGTTTAGGTATGCATATAATTTATTTATGCCCCAGCATTGAATATTTGCTGTTTGTATGTTGTGCCCTGCCCTGAATTCCCCTTCAGGGTGAGTAGGGCGGAATATAAATATGTAAAATAAATAAATAAATATAAGTAGCCATACAGATAAATTTTGTTTTGGTGAAGTATTATTTATTTATTTATTATTTCCTTTATTTTTATCCTGCCTTTCTCCCAGTATAGGAACTCAAGGTGGCTTATATAGAAATTTGGTATGTAACTGAATTCTTAGTGATGCCAGTAGATTTCCAGATTACTGGAAATACCTCTCATATCAGTTAAAATATTTTATGCAGATTTTAAAGAAAATATACGTGTACGTGTGTAGCAGTCTACTAGCTCAATTTGCATTTGGGATTTTTAGGTATAAATGGGTAGTGTATTCTTGGCCCATTAGCCTTTTTTGAGTTTTTCTTTACTGATGCTGCAAGGTACTTTTGTCAATTATGCATAGTATTTTGCTTGATTTTTAGATAAACCTAATACTATATATTAAGGTTAGATTTCATGTTATGTGTGCATAAATACTCACACATACTCACACAGGTGCTTCTTGTAGCTAAAGTTATTGCTGTGCCAGGGATGGGACGTCAAAGAGGTGCTAAATCCTATCTTCTCTTCTTTTCCGCAGCAGCTTTTCTTCTTCTCAGTGTTTTAAGACATGTTTGTGGAATAGATATGAATTAGGAACAACACTGGGGTGGGTTATATTTGGTTGTGTGTGTATGAAAGAGAGAGAGAAAGAAAGACAAAGTCAGAGAGAAATAAGACAATCTACAATATACCTCCCTGGTATTGCTACCCAATACAATACTACCCTGGTAGTATTGTACGTATTTCTGGGTTTTGGTTCTCTCTCTTGAAGCAATTCTCATTGATATATACATGTTTTAAAAAGTAAGTGTAGTTTAATAGTTTGAGCATTGGACTAAGGCCCTTCTACACTGTCCTTATATCCCAGGATCTGATGCTAGTTTTATCAGTTCATTGCAGGTTATATGGCAGTTTTTTTTCTGTGTCAGGAGCAACTTGAGAAACTGCAAGTTGCTTCTGGTGTGAGAGAATAGGCCGTCTGCAAGGATGTTGCCTAGGGGACACCTAGATGTTTTGATGTTTTACCATCCTTGTGGGAGGTTTCGCTCATATCCCCGCATGGAGACCTGGAGCTGACAGAGAGAGCTCATCTATGCTCTCCCTGGATTCGAAACTCCGACCTGTCAATCTTCAGTCCTGCCGGCACAACTGTTTAACCCACTGCACCACCGGGGGCAGTGGAGACTCATATAATCCAGTTCAAAGTTGATAACCTGTGATCAGATCCTGGGATTTAAGAACAGTGTAGAAGGGGCCTAAGGGCCCTTCCAGAAAGGCACAAAAATGCGGGACCTATTGCGCGTTTACTAAATGACCAAACAACCTCTCCAGTAAAAGCAAAGTAATTCAAGATAAAGCAGCTAAATCCCGTTTTGTCCCTAATTACTTTGATACTCCATTAGACCTGGGCCTCCCTGAAAGGTCCGGGATGGAGTATAGGGCCAGTGGAAACTGTCCCACAGGGCTGCTTCCGCAGTCCTGGCATCAGTCCTCAAAGCCCACCTTGGTTCTTCGGGCATCCAAAAGCCCAGAGAACCAAGGAGGGCACCTCCCTCCTGGTACATGAAAATAATGCGCCAGGAGGCGGGGGGGGGGGGGGGGGGGGGGAATGCTCCTCCCCCCTCCCCTCGCCTTCTGGCACATCATTTTTACACAGCAGGAGGGCTGCTGGAGCAGCCTCATGGCAACCTGGAAAGTTTTATTTCATGTTAAGGCTTTATGGAGGGGGGTTGAGGTGGCCCCAGGGGGACAATCTCCTGAAAAGCTACTTCTTTTGGATGCTCATGGAGAATTAAACCCATTTCGGAGTGGGTATCTTTAACCTGCTTCAAAGCGTGTTTAAATCAAGTCTGCAAGCTCCCTATAACTTCTGGAGACCAGGGGTTGAATTCCCGGAAGACCAAGAATCCCATTCGTTGACCTTAAGGAAGTTATATTTTCTCATTCCCAGAGAAGAGCAATGATGAATCCTCTTTGAATAAATGTTTCCAAGAAAACCCAATGATAGGGTTGCCATGCGTCATAAATGATTTGAAGGATACATTTAAAAAAAACCCTTTTATATAGATGAGTCATCTATGCATCTTTCTCTTAGAACATTTGATGAGTTTAGATCTTAGGGCAGAAATGGCTTTAATTCACAGATTATTATTACAGAAGACAATGACTGAGGAATTCTGAGTCATGTTATTTTCCAATAATAATTTCTTTTCATCTGATAATAGCAATCACTACCCCAAAAACTGCTTTTATAACCCCAAAAGACTTTGACTTCCTCCCCTTTTTTCCTTTCTATCTTTTATCTCTTTCTCTTCTTTCTCTATTCTCACAAATTTAATACTGCTGATTTTATCATTGCATTTTTGAAATTTTAATAAAAATGTTTTTTAAAAAAAGAAGTTGACTTTTCTCCTTCTCTTGGGCCCCATCTACATTGTCAAATAATGCAGTTAAAGTGCATCATGTGGGTCTGCAATGACCATATAATGCAGCTTCAAACTGCATTATACAGCAATTCAGATGGGACCTTGGAAATACCACCTTCCTAACTTTCAGTTGTGACCTTCAGCTGCTTGGTTAATGGGAAAGACAAGATCAAGCTCCCCCCCCCCCCAAATACATTGGGTTTAGTTAGTTGCAAAGTTATCTTATTTGTTACCAGTATTGATAGTTTCTTCCTCTAAGAGCCATATATATGATTGCATTGTGTTTTTCCAAGGACACCATTTTAGAGGTTTGAAGTTCAGTAAAAACTGCATCTAATAGAATTCTGGCTTGAGTAAATACTCTAGGATTCAGCTGTAAGTGGATAATTGCATCCCATCAGAACCTTATTACTTTCCACTTCATCTGTTTTTATGCAGTGTAAGAACCATAATACTCGCGCGTCCTGGGAATTAAAAATATCATTGCATGAGAAATGCAAATTTAGACGTTATAAAAGTGATGATGTTTGAAGAATACAAATATTGGTATACTGAGCATATTTAAAATTATTCAATTATTCAGTTGTGACTATAAAATTGTTCAAGTAAAGAACTAAAGACAAAAAACAAATGTAACACATGGGGTATGCACATGGTGTGATTAAAGGAGTGTGTGAACCAGTAACCTCATGAAGCAGGATGGTCAATAAGCAAAGTTTTAATTTTTCATTTTCTAAAACTGTATTGTATTCATTTTAAAAACTAATTCTCTATAGAAATAAAATCTAGTTTTAGTATAAATCTCTCTCTCTCTCTCTGTATTTATATATAGTGAAATGTTATATGCAATATATGAATTACAGCACGAAAACATTTAATTTTATTTAATGAATCCAATCTGAAAAAAATCACATATTTTTGAAAGTTGAATAATGAGGAGCAATTTGATTTTATGCCTTCTGCCACTTTGTCATGCTGGCCAAAAATACCAATTTTTATTAACATCTTGAGCAGCCATTTTCTACAACCGAAACCTCCCTTCCTTATATAGCTGCATTATAATTTGCATAATAATTCACTGTAGTCAGTAATTGTTGAGTTGTAGTTAAAAGATTCTGGATGGAGGACCAAAATTTTCCTAGGTCTGCCCTATATTACAGATTGAGTATCCCTCATCCAAAATTTTGAAATATTTCAAACTCTAAAATTGTCCACATGAGTGTCTGAGATAGTGGTCTCTGCTTTCTTGGGGTTCAATGTCTACAAAATTTGTTTCATGCGCACAGTTATTAAAAATACTGTATTGTGTACCATGTGTTCACTTTACAATAATCATAATCATCATAATACTTTATTTCTAGACTGCTCTCTCTCCCCAGAAGGACTCAGAACAGTTTACACATAAAAAGGCAAGCATTCAATGCCTCAAAATAGGTACAGACACATCAAAATAATACAAAATAATGGAGAGTAACAACAGAAAACTTACAACAAAGGAATTAAGTGTGAAAATAAAACAAAAACAAAGACATAAAAACGAAAACATAAATAAACATTACAATGTAAACCCTAAAAACAAATTATGAGATATTACATT